GACACACACACACACACACACACACACACACACACACACACACCCCCTCCAGAGCAAGGGGAGGAAGAGCCTTCCCATAAGATACCCTCTCAAACCTTTTCTCTCTAAGCCTCAGGTTCTAAACTGACTTTCCTGACAGGACTTTCCCTTCCTTTTCTGCAGCACCCCCCCACCCCCAGGTCCCAACTGAGCCCTGGATATCAGAGAGGAGCTTCAATTCTAAAAGCCCCCATCCCTGAGCCTAAATACAGACTTGCCTGTTTCTGACAGTGCTTCCTTCTGAAAACATTGTGGCTGGTTGTAGAGCTGAGATGTGAACTGGTAGTGCCGGGATGTGGGTTTGAGGTAAGGCACATGCCAAGGCTTTTTGAGCGGTTGGTCCCAAGATCCCAAAATGAAAGCTGACAACAGAAGCAGAAGTGGGACGGACGCTTATTTGAAAGTAGCCCTAAGTGAAAGCGTGAATTGGGTGACACTGTCAGACCTTGAGCTCTGGCAGGTCCCACAAATGTCCACTCCCAAACCCTTCCTTCTGCTCTGGAGAGGAGATGCCACCTAGTCCCGCTCCACCTCGCGCCCCTCGTTCTGGAATCTGCGGAAGGAGCGGGCTCTGGGCAGGGCGCTGTCCACGCCCTGGTGCTGACCGCGTCTGAGTCAGCTCGTGCTTTCCAGCGTCGGGACCAGGCCGCCCCTGCCAGGCCGCACGAGAGCCAGCACAGTATGAAGCCCTTTCCCAAAACCCTCCAGCCTCCGCGGGGTGCAACTCCCGCGCCTTTGACGACAATGTCACGGAAATTCTTTCCCACTATCTCCTCCGGAGCACTCTTGGGATTGCCTCTCAAGAATGAGAGGCAAATTATCTACGGGTCTCTGGTACCCAGGATTTGCCCCGTTGGTAGGTCGTCTAATGGGGTCTTAGGGACCTCTGCTCTTGGGAGAGAAAGGAGGGACCCATCTTCCTTCTTCCTCACTTCTTTTCGGAGTCTGGAGCAAGCTGTACACCTGAAAGAGTCTGAGCTCTGAGCTACCAGGGGCAAAAGCTGGCAGGGGCAGCTGGAAAGGACCCCAGCAGAGCTTCCCCCGCCTGGGACAGCCCGCTTCTCCTCCACTCCCAGTCTGGAGTGGGATCTGGACGGAATCCAGGCGGCTGGGGTCGGAGGAGAGGACTCCTTCATGTGGCTGCTGTTTGCCTGGTCCGGCTCTAATCGCCCCCCACCCGCACCTGCACCGCTCTTCTGGCTACCAGACGCACCCCCCACTAGTTTTAAACACCGTTTCCGCTCCTCTTGAAATGCACTGACTGCTCTTGGTCGGTGTATCTGAAGTCGCCTTGGGCGGGGGCACCTGGGCCCCTCTCGTTTGAGGGAGCGGGGTGCTCCGGAGCGCCTCCGCTTCTTGCGAACACAGGCCACCTCGGCGCCATTCGTGACCCTTCCCCCACACTCCCTGCACTCAAGCTGCAGTCTGTCCCTCCACCGCCCCCTCCCCAACACTCAACTTCCCTGGTGAGACAGAGAGATGAGCAGGAGAAGAAAATGCGCGCGGACACACAGCCCCAAACGCCCCCTCGCAAGTCTCTTTCCCTTGATCGCTCTCCCGCTAGCGCTCTCGCACACAAAACCAGAGAAGCTCCTGGAATAGAAGGAGACAGGGAAGGGAGGGCTTGGAGGGGGGGAAGCCCTGTGCCAGGGCGGAGGGGGGAAAGGCTCGGAGAGGACGCCCCGCTTGCTCCTTGTCGAAGGCGAAAGGCGGGATCTCCAAGCGCGCGGGGCTCCCCAGTGCACTGCTGACCGACGGCTCCTTCACGGGCTGGGTTCACAGAGGAAGGCGTCCTCCCCTGGGCCCAAGTGACAGGGAAGCAAGAACATCTAGGCCTTTTCACCCTCCGCCTTGTGGGGGCAGGAAGGAAAACAGGGGCTCCCTCTGCCCTCCGCGTTTAGCCCCCTTCCAGATCTGAACTGCTTGGGCAAGCTCCTGACTCTCAGTGAACCCCCAGCTCTAAATCCATCATCCAGGGACAGAGTCCAGTAAGAGCTGAAACTGAGCCCCAGGGGGTCGGTGACAGCAAAGGCCTGACGTGCCCTATACCTGCTGCTTCTCCTCCCTGCGTTGGAGAGTGTGCAGAGGCCACAGCGTGGGGATCACCCTGCCAGGCCCCACATATCATTTTCTCCTGGACATGCTCTCTTCATTTCCCAGCATCTGTAAACTTATGCTGCTTTTTCTTCAGGGAAAGCTCTGGATTGAAGGAGGAACTTAGACCTAGAGGCCACCGTTTATTCCTCAAGGAAGGTGGGAAGAAAGATCGCAGGCCAGGCATGGCCAAGTTCAGCCTTGACCTCCTCTCCCAGGCCTCCAGGTGATGACAGAGGGACACCAACACCTCGAGTTGGTACCTGTTCTACTAGGTGCTCAAGGGGGAAAGCATCTTTTCTGAGGGTCCCATAGAGGGCCACGCAGGGGGCCCCAGCTCTAAGCGCAGGCTCACCCAGCCCATGCCACTATTACTTTCCTATGCTTTGGAGGTGAGAGATCAAGCATTGGCCACCTGCACAGAGGTGCCACCTGGAGTTCATGAAACCTTCCACCCCGCTGGCCTGCTTCCAAACCCAGAACCGGCCGTCCCATTCCACGCTGCATCTTTTCAAAAAGCTTCATTAAGTTTCTCTGGATAAAAAACTGTAAGAAAAACTGCTGGGGGAAGGCCATTCTGCCCTCTGAAACTTCCTTCGCGCTTTGACGCAAGGACTGGAAGTGCTGGCTCCAGGGACAGCCAAGCTTGGGAATGGAGCCAGGACTGGGGCTGGGCTCACAGGCTTCTGGGGGAGACACCTGCCGGGGCCTGGACTTTCTGGCCCTCTAGCCGAGGGAGGGTAGGGTGGAGAGACTGGGGGTGGTGGTGAGAAAACTGGAGCAATGGTAGTGGGTGGATATGCTGCCCAGCTGTGTGTTGGTGTTCGCAGGGCTCTCGCGCCAAGCGTGCCTGCAGCGGCCCAAGCGCTCAGCCCTGTCTGGACCAGGCCGTCCGC